CAGAGGATCCTGCAGCCGCTGCCCAGTTCCCGGGTCCCAGAGGCAGAGGATCCTGCAGCCGCTGCCCAGTTCCCGGGTCCCAGAGGCAGAGGATCCTGAAAGGGGCAACAGAGCAGACACGTGCCCTCTCTGGTTCTTTCTCCTTTGCCGTCCTGAGCACCTAGCAGGCCTGCCCCAGCCAGGTGGGAATAACACTCTGTATTCACTTCTGTGAGTTGCCAAGGAAGCCTCATTATCACATAGCACTGTGCAGATTGCTCAGACTGCCAAATGAGTCAGGCGAAGCTTTGTTGAAAGAGTCCTGCGCTGACAATATTCACACACACACGAGCCAAGCCTCCTGCATAGTCAGCCTTAGCCGGAAAGGAAGGAATAGCCCTGCCCATGGGCCAGTCCAGTTCCTATGGGTCGGTCCTTCCATTTCCCCCAGCACAGTCACATTCACTGCCACCCAGCCCTGACTGGGGTCCCTTCTTTCCTCACAAGGGCCAGCTGCCTTGTCAGCGGTGAAAGTTGCCATGTGGATTGATTCCTAGGAACAGGATAATCTGTGATTAATACTTTACCCTCTGCTTTCTTGAAAGGCAAATGGGAAGGGAAAGAGTCCAGCTCTCACACTGGGAAGTTTAGTACCTTAAACAGAAGGTACTTAAAGTCAGTACCTTTCCTGGCTTCTTCCCCTCTTCATCCCATGAAGGCTTCTAGGTCTTGTCCCCTGTGACCCCAGTAAGCTTACTTGGCCTTCCTTCTGGAGGCCAAATTCTCACTTGACTTTAATGCCTGGAAGTCCTACATTGTCCCCAGGCTCTATAGATTCTTGGGAGCAAAGATATTGCCTAAGGGACTGAGTGGATAGTGGTTCATATCAAGCGAGCCCACACTGGCCAGAGATGGACCCGTGGGTTTGTGAGGTAGGAAATCTAAAGAGAATGCCAACCATAAAAAATAGGAGGTGACATTTATTGGCGGATGAGAACAAAGTGTTTTACTTAGAAGAAAATAGAAGGGAGCAGAAAAGCAGGGAAATGGAGGAAATAATGTTCTGAGCAGACCCTGGTCATCTAGGTCTCAGGTGAGGGAGGGGCAATCGTCTTCTCTCTCAGCTTGGGTAAACTTCTGTGTCTCCCACAGGGTATTGTTGACTGAGGTAAAGGGTTGTTCTAAGTTGTTGATGCAGAAATGGGATGGAAAACAGAGATCCTGACTGCATTTTCATTGACCCAGGGAAGATTTTCTCATCATCCTTGAGTCTGACTTTGTCTAACCTCTGCACGAACAACTGGTTCTTTTCTCCTTGGAAAGCTAACTGACTTATCTATGTAGTAGCTCAGGCAAGCTACTATACTAGGTCAGAAGGCAGGCAGGACAACAAATATTCCAATTTTACAGATGAGAAAAAGGCAAGCTCCGAAGACAAATAATAAGTTATCGACAGTCTCAAAGCTAGTGGAGTGCAAATAGAGTTAACAACTGCACTATTGAGTTGTGTGAAAGAATGGGGTAGATAAATAAAAGAATTAAAATTGATGTGAACAAATGCACTTGGCATTTTTTTCCTTCCAAAGTCAAGCCAGTACTATAGCTAAGAGACAGGGAACAAAGGAAAGAGGCGACCGGAAGAGTGGTAGTGGCCAAACTGGTAGGCGGCAGAAACGGTTAGGCCGAATCCAAAGGCAGGATCAGGGAAACCCATCTGCAGAATTCCCCACAGGCTCCCGAACTCATCCACATAGAGAAGGGGTGAAATGGGTATCTTGAGGGAGTTATTTGAAAAGGGATTAGAGTCTCAGATCCTCTGACTACTCCACACCACTGAGGGGCATCCATTTCTCCCAGTTTCCAGGACATTGAATAAAGAAAGCACTTAGGGACAAGATACAACCTCCACCAAGGGTTGGCTAGCGCAGGTGAGGGCAGGGTTCCTCCACACTGAAGTTCACGACCACCCCCTGCTAGGTGACTATTGGATGTGAAATCTTGCCATTGACACACGTACTGAGCCCTCTCCTGTTTGGTTTCCAGAAGATGGCTGTGAGAGCCACCCCAGCCTAGGCTGGGTGAGTGAGGTGCCTCCCGGGCCATGAACAGCCCATTGCACTGTGGGATTCCGAAAGAAAAGGTGCTGCCCGCGAGACTAGGTGTATGGTGGGTTCCAAGTCCCAAGTTGACTTCGGGTTCCCTCACTGACTCAGCGGTTCTCACAACTCTTTAGCATTCCACTCTGAAACTCGAGTGGGTAAAGGCGCTTGCTCTCAAGTCTGAACCTGGGTGTGATCCCTGGGACCTACATGGTGGAAGGAGAGAACCAACTCCCACACGTTGTCCTCTGATTCCTGCCACACATGACTTAGCACGTGAGTGCCTACACGCATGCACTCACCTCAGACACATATACACACTAAATAAACGTTAAAAAAAAAACTAAATGAGCAGACAACCAACTGAGAGAATCCTACAGGTAGGTGGGGTGGGCGAACTGGGGGTAGCAAAGTGTATAAGGGGAAGAAAAACAATGTATGAGTATTAATATTCCCATAGAGACAAGAACTGAAAGACATCGCTCCCATAAAGTAAAAACTGAATACTTTAAAGGCAAAACAGACAAACAAAAACACTGGCTGGAGAGCCAAGCATGAAATAGAATGACAGAATAAAAAAAAAATCAGGGAAATTTACAAATATTCCAACTTCAGTATTAATTATCTTATTGTGCTCCAAAAGATTTAAGGAAAAATACCCATACTCTGAGAACATGAAATGGCATGAGCCTGGCTGCTTCTTGGGAGGCCGAGGCAGGAGGAGCTGGAGTTTGAGGCCAGGTTGGACTATAGAGTGAGTTCGAGGCTGGCCAGACAGCTGAGTGCTGCCTTGTCTCAAAACAGAGACTATAAAAAGGGCTGGGGCCCCAGGCAGTGGTGGAGCGCTGCCCACCCTGAGGTCCCAGCCATAAGGAGTGAGAGAGCAAGGTTGTGGGAGAAAGAAAAAAAAAGCAGAGAAATAAACAGCAAACAAATCACCAGATCGATGGATGGATGGAGCAAGAAGGAAATGTGACAATGCCTAGCTTTAATTCACACACAGAATCTGGTCCATGGGGCCCTGGGGAAGGCTATCACATTCCCATGTCAACATAGAGGGCCTGAGAGGGCATTGTTGGCTGTTCAACAATTTCTCATGCTTTCTGTTTGCATTTGAGTTAGTGCCACTGTCACTCCGGGGTCATGCAGATGATGTCACAGCTCTTCTCTGACCTACCTGCCACCATATCTCTGTAAATGATGATATATGTCCTAAACAATAGAATGATGTAAAAATGAAAAAAAAATCCTTCTGTTAAAAAATAAATAAAAAATAAATCATAAATGTACTTTAAAAAACCATAAATGTATTTAAAAAATAAATAAATCATAAATGTATTTTAAAAAAGAATGAAGGACTAGCTATGGTTTTCCTCGAACCCACAGTACTATCTTGTAATCAAGAATTTACAGTTTATATTTCGTTCTCCATCACTTACTGATTTATAGAAGAAAAAGAAGAAAATGAAAAGAGGAAAAAAAACACAAACTCTAACTTCAACTTTCTCAGAAGCCTTAGAAAAATATTGTTTTTGGTTGGTCTAAGAATCATCACATAGAAAAGAGCCTTGGATGGTAAGTTTGATTCTGTAGGCAAATATGGAGATCAAAACTCTCAGGAACTGTGTTGGGTTTGAGGATGTCATCTGTGTTCCATGACCCTCACAGTTAGTGTTCTAATATTTGAAATAAAGGTGCATTCTAAACTCCTGAATGTTGTCCAGCAAGGTGGGAGGGAATGGGAGGGGGCGGCTGACCATGAGGGAGGGTGAAGGAAGAAAGACAAGGAGAACTATTAAATACAACTAGAAAAAAAAATAGCTGAGGAGCCCCCAACTGGATCAGGCCCTCTGGATAAGTGAGACAGTTGATTAGCTTGAACTGTTTGGGAGGCATCCAGGCAATGGGACCGGGACCTGTCCTTAGTGCATGAGCTGGCTG